TTAGACGCTGCATTTGAAGGTAGAAAAATAAGAGGACTGCAAGTGGTACCAGTAGTTGCATGATTACCCATTGCCCTGGTACATTTGGGTTGGATCCTTCCATACCTTAGATCTGTCTCTGGTCTAGGGAAGTTTCAACAGAAGATGAATCTTATTGCCATGGAGAAATAACTATGGTAACGGAGCAACAGGCAAGGCTCTTAGGGACATGTGGAAAATGCTATGCTAGTTAAACAAGAATTCTGGTGCTAAGATTGAGAACATGTGTGGGAAAACAGCATGCTTTCAAAATCAAATCTGTGATACCTCCTTTCTTAAAGAGCTTTTTAGTCAGCTTTTTTTGGGGGGAGTGTTGAGATCAAATCCAGGGCCTTATGAATGCTAAGCATGTCCTCTCCCCCTAAACTACAGTGCTGGTCCTTAAACACATTAAATGGGATCTGTACTAATTTGCAGTAACATGCAGCTTAAATTGATTTATTTAATACATTTCTGTAATTTTCATTTCAACAATGCATCAAGTCCAAAAAGAAGGAAATAATCCATGGGCCTGTAGTGCTTTTGAAAACATTTGATTCATAAAAATGTACATTCATATAGTATTGAAATGAACATATTTTAAGAAAGTTCAAGCATATACAAGCATTGTTTCATCTCGCAAAATAGATTCTGATGGGAATATTTGCATTATAAAAGGGTCTTCAATTATCAAAGGAGTTGCCGCTAAGCTATTTTGCTGGTTGTGATGAAGTTTTCCAATCCAAGAGGCCTAAGACACAGGGTTGCACCCACACAGCTGTCTCTGCACATGTGGCTGCCTGCCACAGGGCCCTCCAGAGATGCTGGGCAGTGCTCAGCTGCCTACACCTGCTAGTTCTTCCCTTCACTCATTCACACTGGAAAACAAGTTATAATGATGAACACATGGATATGAAACTTTCAAAGAACTTGGAAGGGATCGGATTACTTTCTCAAACACTGGAATTCTCTGAGAAATCTGCCAGTCAAGGAACGAGACTAAGAAAGCTGTAAGTACATACTAAGCTTAAGTACTTGCCAAGCAAAAAGCAAACTGCTGCTCTCCATGTTTTGTGGCCATGAGGAAAGTGGTGGCTACAGCTTGACGTCAGCATCCAGAGACACGCACAGCCATGGGGGTAGGGGGTACAGATGCAGTACAGCTGCGCCTGGGCTGTCTTTCCTTCCAATCCCAACTCTCCTTCCTCCTGGCTTCAAGCTGGCTGGATGCAGATTCAAGTTACAGGATTTGCATGGCTAAGAAAAACATTCCAACTTGTATTTTTGAAATTTCTAAAGCGTTGCTGAAGACAAAACAATAAATGCAAATAATTAGAACTTAAAATGCAGTTCTAATTTTATTTGTTTTTGGTTGGTAAAATCAAAACAAAACCCATAAACACACTGTCCCGGGGTTTCCCCAAAGCAATCAACAATTCTTTGGCAATGTTAGGTGTGTAATACGAATGCCATGCTAATTAACACACTATAAGGAGCCTACTTAAAAGTGTTGACATAGGAAAATAGCTAGAAATTGCCCAATGTTAAACCTTCTAAGACTTTTTAAAAACTCTACTTAGTAAATAGAAAATATAAGTGAACACATTTAATTTTTCCTGGTAATAAATGAAGTTACGTGGCTTTTTTTTCAGGTACACAAACTCTCATCACATGAAAAACTTACAGAACGTAAACAGTGAGTATTAGTGAAAAATTTCCTAAGGTAATTGTAGTAAAAGGAGAACGAATCAGCAGTTTAATTGCAGTTGTTTTGATGGCAAACACAAAGAAAAACAAAGGAAAATAAAGGCTATACAGAGACACCACCGTCCACTGAGTAAGCCGCAGGAAGTGTTTACAGCAGGAAACCAAGCTAAATAGCCAGTTCTCTTCAATTTTTTTTTTTTTTGGTACCGGAGATCGAACTCAGAACCTTGTGCTTTCAAGGCAGGCTGCGGAACCACTGAGCTAAATCCCCGGCCCCTCTTCTTCAATTTTTATGTACCACCTGTCATCCATGTATCACCAATCACACTAAAACAAAACCCCTTCACTCTGATAATTTTAAATGCGAAACTGAGTATGTGGGAGCTACAATTCAGATCGAATTCTCAAGATCCATATACACCAATTCAACGAGTCCTGTTAAAAGGCAGGTATAAAAATACAAATCATCACAAGCGATACAGAACTTGAAGATCCAGTTAAGGGCGAAGAAAGACTGGAATTCTCAATGCTGTAAACCCAAAGGCAGTCGGAAGGGCGTCTCAGCTTCCGGCACATTCCAGGGCGGCACATTCCAAGGCGCGTATCTTCTCAGAGAGCATTTGCGCGGCACACCTGGGCGCTGGGCGCGGCCCGCCTCACACCTGGTCCCGCAGGCGGGCCAGTCTCTGGGACAGCTCGTCCTGCTCGGCCGAGGCCACGCTGGTGCCCACGGAGCCGGTCTGGCCCTGCGGCAGCTCCATGTTGAGGTCGAGGCCCGCCTCGTCGGCCATCTCCTGGAGCAGCAGGTCCACCTGGTTCTGGGGAGTGGTCAGCGTGGTCGTGCTGCTCATCGTGTCTTCCATCTGCTGCGTCTGGACGTCCAGCGTCTCGAACTGGTGCTCGAACTTGTCCATCAGGGCGGAGATCTTCTCCAGGTTCATGGTCTTCAGCGTCGCGTCCATCGACTTGACCACGCCGGCCATGGACTTGGTCACCTTGCCCATGGTCACCGCCGTCTGCACTCGGGCGGCCACCGCATCGACGCGCGCGCTCATTCTCAGGAAGTTCACGCCCTGGTTCTTCTGGCGGATGGCGTTCTCGGCGTGTATCCTCGCCACTTCCATGTTGCCCTTCTGAATGGCCTTTTTAATTTTGGCCTTTTCGGCCTTTTCCTCCTTGTCGCATTTTTTGGCACTCCTGCTCAGTTCTTTGGCCGCGAACTTCAGGTTGAACAGGTGTTTCTCCATGGTGGACATGGTCGGACGGCTGGGGGAGTTGGCGGCCGGGCCTGGGGGCTAGCGGCGAGGAGACGAGGCCAGGTAGGTCCGTTCCCGGCCGCCGCTCCTTTGTTGTGGTCCCACTTCCTGCTTCCGCGGCTAGCGGCGCAGAGGGTGACGTCAGAACCGGCGCCGGGGCGGGGCCTGCGTGACGGACAGCGCTGGGCCGCCCCACTGGACTCTCGACTCGCTTGCGCCTGCGCAGACGCTGTCCCGGCTGTGTTCGCGGTTTTAAACTCGATTACATCAGTAGCTAATGCGCAAAACCGGGGTGCACAGGCGCTTCCTTAGGGATACGTCTACTCACGCAGGCGGGATATGCACAGACCTGCACGTAAAATATTCATGGTTCGAACTACGGGCTTTTCATTTGGGCGGTGGGGAGGGGTAACTCGGGATGGATGGGGCCTTCGCCCTGTGCTAAACCTCCAGCCTTTTTACTTTTTATTTCGGAGGTTTAGACTTCAAACTTGACTGTGAGTACAGTTCCTTGGATATTTATAAATCATCAAAAAGGTGTCTCTGTCGCTGAGTCGCCCAGGGAGGGCTTGAATTTGCAGTTTTCCTGCCTCAGCCTCCCGGAGACCCCTGCTTCTCAGGGATTTTTACCTGAGCCAGGGTTGTGACTGGCTGGGGTGCTAAAAACCAGCAAAATGCGGACATCAGCTAAACGGCAGCTCGGTCTGCGGCCTGAAGCTTACTTTCTTTACGTGGGTAATTGCCACTTTCTCAGGGGAGCCCCAAACTATGCAGTAAACAAAACCAAACCCCACAGCAGTCATTGGCCAGGGCTCAGTGTTTGCCTGACTGCTGAGCCGAGCTGAAAACGCCTTCAACACCCCGGCTCCCGAGACTCGGCCTGAGGCTGAGCTCTTCCTGAGTTGCCAACAACCAACGCCCACACCTTGTCCTGGGCTTCTACCAAAAGGCTGGCTTTTCCTGACACGATTCTACCTTCTGAGGTTTTATAAATATCCAAGGAGCTTCACTCACAGTCAGTTTGACAGCCTGAGCTGTCATTTTCAATTATCCAGGCAGAGAACGGAGGGGCCCGGACCCACACACTGCGTTTGTCAGCACTGGCAGGGAGAATCAAGCCCTTTGAAATAAACGGAGGCTCCCAATGGCAGCGACTGCGCTGGGCTTTGACTTTTACTTTTACTTAGGAAGATTCCACTTTACTAAGAAGGCGGAAGAAGGCCGGCCTGCCCCGTGAGTGAGGTGTGCGAGCCCCTGGATGTCAGAGGTCATCTCTGTCGCTGTGCACATCTCTGGCTCCGGGTGCTAGCATGCCAGCCTCTGATGGGGCTGTGGCGCCTGCACCTCCTTAGGGCACAGCTCCGACGATGTCACCCTGGCTACGAGACCAGGCTGCACACCGCTCCCTGCCCTGTGCTGTCAGAGCGGACCCAGGCCTGGACAATGCCACCTCCCCAAGCACTGCCCTGCTGCCCGGAAGACTGTCCCGCCTCTGCCCATAGGATCCCGCCTCCTCTGGGAAGCTTCCCAGGACCTGCAGCCGCTGCGGTGCTCTGCGGTGCTCTGCATCCCGAACAGCGCCGCCGGACAGCGCCGGATGCGAGCCTGGCCACGCCCGTGACACCACTGCCCGGTAAGAGCCGGCGGGGCGCCGGGCAGAGCTTCCGAGGCGGCTGCAGGTTAGGGCAGGGCATCACCCTCACCAACAGCTTAGCCAGGCGAGAGCAGAGCTCTTTTCCACACTGAACTTTCCTAGGAGCACAGTGGAGGACTGCATAGCAGGGAAGACGTCTGTGTAGTGAGAGCGCGGGACTCCTGCTCCCCCCGGCCTACTACTTTGGGGCCCTGGCTCTGCTTGCAGTTGGCCAACTGGCTGCCTGTCCTGAAGCCAGGGCCTTGTGGTACCAGACAAGTGTTCACCATGGAGCCGCCCTCCAGCCCACAGCTAGCTTTCCTCCCTCCATTCTTAGTGCTGGTGACGACCCTGGAGCACTGAGCTACATCCCCAGCCCTTTTATGTTTTAAATTTGGGGACAAGGTCTCACTAAGCTGCCCAGGCTGGCCTCAAACTTGTGATCCTCCTGCCTCAGCCGCCCGAGTAGCTGGGACTACACGTGTGCACCACCATGCCCGGCCCAAAGCTTCTTACAACAAAGTCTAACTCAGCAAGATGGGGAGGAACCAGACCCTCTTTCAGATGATGGTGTTAATGACACCTAGGCACCACATTGTGCTGGGCGCTCTCCGGGAATTCACCCCCTTCGTCCTCACCAGGGCCCCATGGTGGGCGACACCAGCATCCTCAGGTATGGGTGCGGAAGGGGACATGCACAGAGCTGTCACTGGCTGCACCCACACGTCTGGGAAGGGGTAGGAACCCGATTCCACAGATGTGCCGAGGACCAGTAAAAAGCAGTGGGGTGGCCAGAATGGCTGAGTCGCAGAAAGACTACACGGACTGGAAGAACCGACGTAGCAGCTGTCCCCGAGAGACATCGGAGGAGGGCGAGGGCAGTGTGCCCTCACGGCTAGCTTCGTGAGGAAGATCTCATTGCCTGGCGCAGCCCTTGCCAAGGGACACCAGGGGGTGGGGCGCAGAGCGTGGGGGCAGCTGGAGCCCTGTTTTCCGAGGCAGGGCACGTGGGCATGCAGGGCGTCACTCTAAGCTGGGGAGTAGCGCCCAGGCCTGGCTCCCACTCTGGTTGCAGCCCCAGCCTCCCTCATGGTGCGCAGCAGACTGCAGCAAACAGCTCTCGGCTCACGGAGCAGCTGTTTATCCCTGCTGTCCCCCGGGCACTGTGTGGGGACCGCTGGGCAGCTCCCAGCTCGAGCCCAGGTCTGCCTGCTTTCTGCTCTCAACGTCCGCCGGCCCACAGCCCTGGGGCCCTGACAGACTGGACTGTGTTCTCTAGTGTGTGTCTAGCAAAGGGAGGTTACGTGGGATTGTTATCAAAGGAGACTCTGGCCCCACGATCCTGATCATACTTGAGAATCTTCTGGATGTGACACAGGTGTGCAAAAGAATCCAGCCCGTGGCTCCCTTCTCACTAGCATCACCACCTGACAGTACCAGAGCTAGGCAGAGAATCCTTTGTTACTGAGCAGAAAGAACATTTTATTACTCTGAAAACATTTCTAGGAAGCTGTGAGTCCAACCAGTTAATTATTTTAATCATAAAATGGAGAAGAAAAAGACTACAATTTGGCTTATGTGGCCTTTCTTTTCTTTCCTTTTTGGGCATTTTAAGTGGTTAACTTGAGATACTGAAGCAGCATATGTAGTTTTTTTTGTTTTTTTGGTACCGGGATCAAACTTGGGTCCTTGCACTTGCAAGGCAGACGGCGGAACCACTCAGGTAAATCCCCTGCCCCAGCACATGTAGTTTGATTTCATCACTTGCTGAATCTAAAGACAATGAACAGAGAAAAAAGGGGCAAAAAGTAACTTTTCTGTGGGTGTTAAAATACTACAGGATTCAGGCCGGGGTGCAGTTCAGCGACAGTCCGTCTGGGTAGCGTGTGAGGCCCTGGGTTTCATCAACAGTCCTCCTCCCTGACGGGGAGGTCCCTGGGTTCTCCGAGGTGTGTTGCTAGTACGACCTGCACACACACAAGTCTGTCTGCTCCGCAGCAGCTGGCCCCGGCCTGCCTGGCCACCTCCCAGCACTGGAACCTGGCCCTGTTCAATGGCTCAAGACAACAGGTGCTCGGTCATTTCTGAGGACCGTGAAGGTCTGAATTGGGCCAAAGGAAACATCCCTGCGTAGGCAGGACTTGGCGAGCATTTCAAGGAACATGTGACATATATGCATGCATGTATCATACCCGACACACGTGTGCATTCACGTTGATATGTTACACACACATATGTACAGCTTTTCTCCATATCACCTTTTTTGTGGTGCTGGATGCTGAACCCAGGACCTCTCACATGCTGGGTGAGCACTAACCACTGAGCTTCACCCCAGCCCAAGTCCCCCGCCCTTTACTGAGGTCACAGCTGTAATGCACAGCTCTGGGTCATCTCCAGGCCACTGTCCCCCAAATGAGCTCACCATGGTGTCCAGCTCTGAAAACGAAGACGAGAAGGAGCCAGCAGGAAATCCCAGGCCGCGAGACTTAGCACCGCGGGGACCCCGCCTGACACCTCGCTGGCTGCTCCCTGTGGCCCCTCCCGGGCTTTTCTACACTAACAGCCTGCTGAGTGGCGACACTGACACGGACTGCAAGCCCGTCCTCTGGGGGACCGGCCTCAGGCACTGTCACAGCAGCTGGGCACGGACGCCTTCAAAGGGCCCTTGGGGCGGAGCGATCTGGCTCAGGGTGACATCAGTGCGATGTTTTTCCTAAAAAGCAGCCTCTCTGTGTTACAGTCTCTGCTTAGGCTTTGCTCAGTCTGCCCCGATGCTCTGTGGCTCAGCCTCACTGTGCAGTGGCCTGGGCGCAGCAGCTCTGTCCTCTGGGCCTCAGTTTCCTCATTTATGCCGGGAGAAATGCAAGCTGCATGTACTTAGAGCCAGCAGTGAGGCTGGCACCAGATCCTCAGCGAGGAAGCCACTGCCCGTAAACCACCCCTGAGCAATCTGTGTAGATTGCTATAAAATTTACTTAGAAAAAACGGATCTACATGGGCCTTTACCTGGGGATCTGTGCTGGGTGTCTGCGGATCTCTCAGGGAGGGTGCAGGGCAGACCCAGCCGGCAGCTGTTTCTATTCTATTTTTTTGGTACCTGGGATTGAACTTGGATCCTTGCACTTGTGAGGCAGGCGGTAGAGCCCTGTTTCCTTTCTTAGGAAAGAACGTTGCGTAGAAAAAAATGTGCTCCTTGGTGGGCGCCCTCCCCAGGGGAAATGAGAACAATGCACACAAACTGAAGAGATGTGGCTGGAAGCACAGACCTGAGCTTGTGTGGCTGCGCTGCACACACGCTGTGGCTCCCTCTTCCCCTTCTTCACCGCCAGTCTGTTCCCTTACTTTTCCCAAGCAAAGCCCCTCCCCGCACAGAAACCTGTTGCACCATCTAATGCTGCCACATAACTGTCTAGAGCCGGAATATGAAGCCGACAGCCCCTAAGTCAAACAGCATGCAAAGTGGCCTGTCTGTCCCGGATGGAAAGAGACCCTCAGAGGCGGGGCTGGGGCCTTTCCCAGGGCTGGTGGGGCTG